CGGGGTCCGAGCGCTGCTGCCCGGCTTGGTCGCGCCCGGGCGCCTGTTGTGGCCGCAGGAGCAGGCCTGGGGCTGGAGGACGTCGTGCTCCCCGACCGGGGACTGCCGCACCAAGCTGTGGCCACGGGCAGCGGAGGGAGGGAAGGGCCGCGGGGCGCCACGCCCTGTGCTGGGGCTCCCCCTCCCTCTGCACCCCCCTCCCGGCCCAGCGCCTGACCCTTGGAAATTTCACAGGAACCTGGATCTGCTGCTCCCCAGGGTGCCGACCGCAGAGCTGGGGTGCCCTAGCGAGCAGTCTCCCGAGAAGCAGCACCCCCCGGGGCTGGGGCCCGGCCAGAGGAGGTCTGGAAGCAGGACCCAGCCCTGGCCACTGCTGCCCCCGGGGCGAGGAGGCCCGGCCAGGTCTGGGCGGCGGTGGCCAGCATGAGTGAGGCCCCAGGCCCCAAAGGCTCGGCCGTCGGCCACTGGCTGACACAGACACGCTGGGTGGGGCGACTGCCCGGAAAGGGGACCCCAGCCCCACACCGGCCTGTGACAGGGTGGGGCCCACCGGCTAGGACACGACCACACGGGCTCTCGTGGGGATGGTGGAATGTTCTGGAATTGGGTAGCGGAGGGGCGGCTGCCCTGAGTGCTTGAAGCCCTGCTCGGTGCACTGAGCCTCAGAGTGACCGAGGAAACTCCCCGATGAGCAAAGCCGCGAGGCCGAGCCGGGAGGAGTGGACGGGGCTGCCTGCGGCCTGCGAGGGCGGGCGGGGACCCGCGGCCTGGCCGGGGCCTCCTGCGCCCCTCTGCGCGGGAAGGACCGGCCGCACCTGCGTCCCCTGCGGTGACAGACCACCCAGCATCTCTGCACCCACGGCTGCCCCTTGCCACGCTGGCACCATGGTGCGAGGCCAGGGCGCCCACACACGCCCAGGTCCACCCAGCCCTTCCTCCGCCACCTGGGCCACGGCCCCAGCTGGCCAGGCCAGGCCAGCCGCAGCCAGGCCCGCACAGGCACTGTAGGCTCAGCTGCGGGGTCCAGGGGCTGCGGGTCAGTCTGCCCAGGTAGGGTGGACGTGCCTGTGCCAGGGAGCCCCAGGACAGCCCGGCCAGCGGAGGCCCCAGTGGGCAGGGCTGCTGTGGCCTGGGCAGGCAGGTGAAGGCCACAGCCCAGCAGGGAGCAGCCAGGTGAGCCTGGGGAGGGCTCACACAGGACGGGGCCAGGCGGCACGGCCTGGGGATGGCCGTGTGGGGGGCGGCAGGGAAACAGGGCTCTGGGGACGAGTCCGGGGTGTCCGGAAGCCCCTGCACCTTCGGGGGCACCCAGGATTCAGCAGTGCCAGGACACGTGGGGGCTCGTAGCCAGAAGGGCAAGCCCACAGTGAAGTGCAGGCGCGGTGGGGCGGGAGCTGTGTCCACTTGCTCTGCAGACAGGACCAGGCCCTGGCTCTCCAGGCTGGCCCTGCAGAACGCACCCAAGACTCCGGGGTAGGAGTGGGGAACTGGAGACTCCGTTCAGGAAGTCCTCGACCCCAGCGTGGCCCCGTGACCTTGCGACCCAGGAAAAAGCCACCTGGCTTCCCTCCTTGGGGGAGTGTGTTCCAGAAGGCGCTCCCCCGCGAACTTTGGGCAGGGCCAGGTAGCCTCTGAAGTCGCTGCTTTGCGAGAGCTCCAGAACTGCCCCCGGACAGCAGCTGCGATGGCCAGCGGTCACAGGCACCCCAGGAGGGGCGCAGGATGGCAGGACCGCCGCTGGCCCCTGCCCAGCACAGACCCTGGGGAGGCCGGGCTGAGCACCTGGCAGCCCACTGGACACCGGCTATCTGCCTGGCCCTGACCCAGGGCATTCCCTCCACCGCCCAGGCAGCTGGCCACCCACCAGGCAGGCCGAGGCCGCGATGCAGGCGTCCGACCTGACGGAGGGCTGACTTGGTGGTGGGCCCAGCTGGGGGCTCCCCTGGCCCCACGCTCTCCAGACTCACCCCACCACTGCATGGGCTCCCCGCGCCAGTGCACACCCATTGCCTGAGGCTCCCAGCCACCCACAGTGGACACCAACACCCCCAACTTACAGAACGGGAAATCTCAGAACACTGGGGAGTCACTGGGGAGTCAGGGGCTGGGCGCTGGGGGTGGGGGTCACTGGGCTGGGGCAGCCACAGCTTTTAGAAGGGCCCAGCTGGCTCAGGAGAAGATCAGATGGAGGAGAGTGTGGGGGCCGGCGGGGGGAGACCGGCCTTCGCAGACCTCCTGCTCCTCCAGGGCCTGGGTCAGCCTGCCACACACCCACCCTCCCTGCCTCCCGCGGCCGCCCAGGGCAGCAGGCGGAGATGGCCCCAGGGGTCACGGGAGCCCCGGCTCGGGCCTGACTTACAGACCCCCAGAGCGGGGTGCTCCCCATCCGGCTGCAGGCCGCGTGCACAGACGCGGCGAGTGACGCGCCTTCTGTCTCCTGTGGCTATGGGCCCAGTCGGCCGCCGAGGGCCAGGGCCACGCCGGTCCTGCATGTGCCCAAGGAGAGGCCAGCACAGGGTGGACACAGCACGTTGGAAAACGGAAGAAAAGCAGCCTGAATGAATGAGCCGTCTGTCTGTGGGTGGTAGGAGCCGTGGGGGTGCGGGAAGCAGATGGGGCCGGCGCTGGGAGCCCCCGGAGCCCTCCGCCCCGTCCCTACCTCTCCTGGGCTCAGGGGTCCCTCCGCCAAGCTCACCCCGCAGGAGCCCCTGCCCCAGCCTGTGGCCTCCAGGCCACCAGGGTCCAGTAGAGCAGACTCAGCTCTGGACGCTGCCACCCCAGGGTGTGGCCTAGTGGGGCCCAAGCAGGCCCTGAGCTCGCAGGAGCCTCCAGGGCTTGCACCTACCCTCTGCCCTGCTCTTCCTGGGGCTCA